AGCCTGGCCTGCAGCTGTGTCCCCAGAGAACCCATCACCACTGCTGCTGCTGCTGCTGCTGCTGCTGCTGCTGCTGCTGCTGCTGCTGCTGTCGATGGCTCGGTCTCCCCCCCTGCTGCAGCTCCTGCGGGGCGGGGTGTTGCTGCCTTCACCTTCTGGGCGTTCGCGGCCTTCTCCGCCTGTACGAAAGAGAGTGCGGTGTCGCTGCTGCTGCTGCTGCTGCTGCTGCTGCTGCTGTTGCTGCAGGTGGTTTGCTGCTTCTGTGTGGGGGTCGTCTTTGGGCCTGCTGCTGCTGCGTGTCTGGCCCAGCTGTCTCCTCGACGGCAAGAAGGTGAGGTGGCTGGGGGCGAAGCGAGTGAGAGTGCGGGCAACAGCAGATGTGGGGCGCCGCAGCAGCGGGAAAGATGAAGCAAATACATGAGAGACACCTGAGGGCCGTGTGCTGCTGTCTCCTGTCTCTCCTGCTCCTGCTGCTCCCCCTCCAGCTCCTGCTCCTGCTGCTGCTGCTGCTGCTGCTGCTGCGCTGACACCAGAAGAAGAGGAACTCAACGCCCCAGAGGAGGAGTCCTCGCAGTCCTTAGCAGCTAAAGACTCGCTGCTATTCAAACACTGCAGCAGCAGCAGCAACAGCAGCAACAGCAGCAACAGCAGCAACAGCAACAGCAGCAGCAACAGCAACAGAGATACAGCACGCCGCGGGGAGACAGGCAAACGAAAGCGGAAGCAAACAAAGCAGCAGCAGCAGCAGCAGCAGCACAAGACGCTTCTTCAGGCCTCAACAACTCAGCAGCACGATCAGCAGCAGCAGCAGCAGCAGCAGCAGCAGCAGCAGCAGGCAGGCAGGCAAACAGAAAGAGAGGGTCTCTATGGGACAGCTGCGATGTCGAAAGGGAAAAGAAACAGAGACAGAGAGGAGACAAAAAAAGAAGAGGCGAGAGAAGGAGCAGAGACAGAGACAAACGGAGACACCCCACAAACCAAAGGAGACACCGTCAAAGAAAAACACAACACAACAAAAGAAGCAGAGACAGAGACAGCAGCAACAGCAGCAACAGCAGCAGCAGCAAGACCAGCAGCAGCAGCAGCAGCAGCAGCAGCAGCAGCAGCAGCAGCAGCAGCAGCTTCTTACTTTGGCTGTGATGAAGTTAGCGAGGTTAAGAGCAGCAACAACGGCCCAGCATAAGACCTTAATATAGAGTTCAGGTGTATGTGCAGCAGCAGCAGCAGCAGCAGCAGCACGAACAGCACCTTCATATAAAGATAATCCCCTAATACCTAATTCTTCTATTCTGCCTGTTCTTATTAAAAACACAGCCTTGCGGCTATATATAAACTCCAGCAGCTGCAGCAGCCCCAGAGACCCCACACGCAGCTGCGGAGACAGTGCAGAGGCTCGATGGGGACAGGCGAGGAGAGGCAAGCCATCGACGCCCCCAACTATAAAGTCTGTTGCTGCTGTTGCTGCTGCTGCTGCTGCTGCTGCTGCTGCTGCTGCTGGAGACAGACGCGGAGCCACCCATGAATCAAGCACCTGAAGGGCCTCCCCGTATCGACCGCATTTCCCTAGGAGACAGGCGAGAGCGTCTTTGGCTGCAAGTATGCCTGCACTTTGCTGCTGCTGCTGCTGCTGCTGCTGCTGCTGTTGCTGCTGTTGCTGCTGCTGCTGCAGGCGCTGCAGCACATCCTCTGCCAGCAGCATGCGGTACTCAACGGCACTCGCTAGCGCCTCCCTCAGTCTCAGTAGAAAAGCCTGAAAAAGAAGAGACAGAAAAAGGAGACAAAAGGAGACAGGTGAGGGGTTTAACTGTCTCCTTTTGTCTCTGTTGCTGCAGACAGAGCAGAGATAGAGGGGGCCCAACGAGGAGACAAAAGAAATAAAAAGGAGACAGTAAAAGGAGGCAGAAGAGAGACAAAGGAGACACACAGAGAAGGAGACAGAAAAGAGACAGTGAAAGAGAGAAAGCGGAGACAGCACAAAGAAACAGAACAGAGACAGACCCTTTAGGAGCGAGGAGACACAAGAACAAGGGG